TGTGTACAAAATCAAACCCCTAAAAGGGGAACTATTTATATGAATTATTTATTATTTATTTTCTTTGCTGTTCTCAATTAATGTTGGGCGCCTAGTTTTGATGTAATGTTCGAACGATCTAGGTTCCTTGTATTTATTTCAGGATGGCACTCATTTAGAGGAGCCAAAGGAATGTCTTCCATACAAACTTTCGTAAGTTAAAGAAGTTAAAGAGTGTTAATGGCTCATTTACTAGAACTTCATTTTTGTTTATGTTTTTCGTAAAAGAACTTTTCAAAAAGCTACCTTAAACCAATTTTCCATAAAAAGTTTCTTAAAACATTATCAAAACACATTCAAAACTTAGAATCCGTTTGATGCTGATTATGAGAATAAATTTTTTGACTGTTAGCGAAAGGTGGGTCCCACCTATAAGTGAAGATGTAAAAAATGAAGGCTGATTATGTTAAACAACGATCAAAATTTTGATATTTTTGGTTTGAAAAATCAGAACTGTACGAGGGCTTAATCTTAGTTTTCAAAGCAATTTTTTGACTTTACAAAAGAACGAACCCTAAAAAATGTTAAGAAAATGTTGATTGTGATCCACGGTTCTCGTAGGCAAGGCCTTCCAAATGCTAACTAAATATATGATGAGTAAAATTATAGAATACATTATTGATATATGAGAATAGTTAGTGATTGAGTTCAACATGATTGGAAGCCATTTTACTAGACATTATTAATTGGTGGGTCATGATTTTATAAAAGATGTAACATGTAACGGATGAGACCACAACAGAGTCTACATTTATTAATGGATAGTCTATCAAGAATTTGTTGAAGGTCTTGTTTGGTTTGGGTAAAAAAATATGTTCAATTAAAAAAAATGATAAAACGTGTGGCTAAAAAGTAAATAAAAATTATGAAGTCCACAAAACTTTTGTTGAGATTGAGTTTGAATAAAAACGAGCTTTAAAAGAATATGGTAAAATAGGAACTTAATTTCTTCAATATTTACTAACAAATATGTGATATATCAGGGAAAAAAAATCTTTACAATGTAATTTTAATACCTGAACTTATATTTTTTTATTTGCTATTATAAAATAATGATTTAATATAATAATCTATTGTTTTACATTATACCCTTATTCGAAGTCCCTTTTTCCATCAAAATGTATTGAATAATAATTTGACCCTGTTTCAATCACACGTTTTTCGAATGAAATAATATTACAGCAAACTCAAAATTTTTCTTGATTTTTAACCACAAATTCTTTGTCATAATACTAGTATAAAATACATTTTTGACAATAAAATGTGGCTCAAACAAGCTCATATATACTATTTTACTTGTCTATAATAACATATTATCTCAACACCGGTATTTTGCCCGCGTATCTTGCAGTTCGTGACAAAAATATGTCAATCACTTGGTTAAAATGAGGCTAGCTTATTAATTCTCTTTAATATTATCCATAATATCCATCTCACTTACGGAATATATTTTGAACTTCAAATGTATAAATCTATGAAATTGTGATTGATAACATCTCATCAAACATTGAAACGACGAATATTGAAAAGACAACTATCTAACATTACTCGACACTAATATATTCTTGTTCAATATTATTTTGTACCGTCGTTCAACTCACTTTATCGAACATACGTGCCGTTAATGTCAAATGAAAATTGAAAACTATGGCTCACATTGATGTCTTTGACAAGAGAAATTATTGAGTTGTTTGAAAACAGAATATGAAATGATAACATTAAGATTGATGGGGGAGGCAAGGATGTAAAGGATAGAGTTGTGGGGTTTCCTGTTTCCACTTGGTGTAGATTTAGGAAAAGTAAGAAGAAGGCATGTACCTTTTTCTCTTATTATTTTTGTCTTTATTTACCATAATCCATAAAATGATAAAATCCAATAAATAACACCAAATTTGATTTGATGTATCAACAAAACTACTTTTGTTTCCCACTCTTGAATTAATAAATTGACAATTCTCTTGTATATATTAAATTTTTGGGCCCATATTTTTAGCCTATATTTGGTATACTGGAGACACAGTTGCCAAAGTATTATACTGGTTAGTACATTACTTTGCTTGATACATATTTATCTCTTTGAGTCATTCAAGGTCGAAATACTCTGTAACTTGTTACGAGAATACTTAATATTTGTAAAATTTTGAATTAAAACATAAAATTTTTATGAAAAATCAAATTCGTTTATAAGATGGAACTATATTTCACTCGCTCTCAAATTGACTTGCCACGAACATCATAGGATATTTGCAAAAATGGGGAATGATAATCTCTCAAGACGCTCGATGCTCAAGTTACTAAGGATTTTGATGTATTGCAGTATATATGATTGAGAAGTGTTACGTTGTAGAGTTGGATGATGGTTGTATTTTAATCATTCGAAGGGTTTTGTCGTTTAGTTCAACAGAATATGTAGAGATAGAGTCGTATATGATTAACTATTCATCTCTTAGAGCCCTTGATGGATGGAATAGGAATGCTGGTGGTATGAGAATGAGTGTAAGATATGTTTTGTTAGTTGTTAGGCTCTCATTGAAAATGTATGGGGGTTGAAAAATCAGATTTTTCCCCTAAACTTCAACTAATGACATTGGTATTTTCGTCCAACTCTTATCCAAGGCCTAGAGTAGTCGATTTGCCTAGCTGGCTTTGAATGGAGGCTTCCATCTTAGCCTCCGTCTGGTTAAATTTATAAATGTTCAAATTTTATTTTCAATTACACAATTCAGTATACTTACAAATATTATTTGCTCATATCATCACTCAACTTTATCTATTTATAAGTTAAACCTTCTATAAATTCTTCAATTGGAGGCTTAGCTAATATGATCATATGTCACTTGAGCTTTACCATTACATATATTGTACTTTCGTGTTCACCACTATTTAATAGATTTATCTTAAGAACAAAAATTAATTTTGGCTGACCTATTTCTTTTAATGATTTTTATATTTGCAAATTAAGCAGTGTTATTTACCCTCAAGTCCTAACAGAATCTAATACTCCAATGCAATATTTTACCTCTTTGAGTTTTTTTTTTCTTTTTTCCTAAATGAAAATAATATTGTAAATCTCGCAAGTTAAAAAAAAAAAAAAATTCAAATTAGTGGACTAATTCGTCATGCAGAAGCATCAATATTGTGTGTTAAGCCCATCAAATTCTTCTTTTTTTTTGTTTTTTTTAAAACATTTTTTAGAACACATAATTGAAAATAAGAATATTCTTATTAACGTTGTTGGCTTGTTGCAAATTACACCGTTTTACTGAAAAAAAAAAAAAAATCAAGTTAGGTGTTTGGAAATAATTGCTAAATACAGATAGAAATGAGTGGTTGATAAGTAATTAATACTTGTGAATCGCTTGAAATGCATGGATAAAAAGGTGATTTTGAGTTTGGTTGTCATGGTTTTTACGTTCAGTAGAAAAATTTCGTGAGTAAGTTACTTTAATTTTTATTTGAAAACTAAATTTTAAGAGAAATTCTTATTCCGGAAGGTTTTTTTTGAGAAGATCATAATTGACTAGATTCATCTAAAAGCTCTTCAATTTTTTTTTTTTAAATCATAAAATTAATTAAACAAATTCAAAAGTCACGCCAAACGGGCCTTTTAAACGTTTATAAACATAATCAAACATAGACTTATCCCTTGTTTGATTTTGATAAAAATAAGATTTTTAGTAGATTTTGATAAAAATTGATGGGATGTGAATTTCTAATTTTTTTTTTCCAAACTCATTTCAACTCCACATTTTATGGAACCCACACATTTTATCAATTTTTCATTAACTTTTAACAAAATTTATTAAAAATCTATTTTTATCAGAACCAATTTTATTTATTTATTTATTTATTATTATTATTATTTTTTTTGGGAGAAAGCTAGTTTGAAAACTAATTTCTAAAAAGATTCTCACTCGAGAAGTGTTTATAAAGAATCATATTTGACAAGCTCATCTAAAATTAATTCTCCTAACTAAAAGAAGTTCATTCATAAAATTAATAAATCGAGTACAAAAGTAGCTATTGATTTTCTCAAAAGTCATATCAAGCAAGTCCGTTTATAAACATGAACCTAACATAGACTTATCCTTTGTTTGGTTTTGAGGGAAAAAGAAATTGATTTTTATCAAATTTTGATAAACGTTAATGGTATGTGTGATTTAAAAACTGAGAATCTCATAAAATGTGTGATTAGAATTAATTGCTGATTTTGATTAAATTTTAATCAAAATTTTTAGTTGAATGTGAGCTTAATAAGAGCGGCTGACCTCGACTTTGAAATTAGTATACTGTTTGACCCTCAATTTCTTAACATTCAATTTTTTTAACCTATTTTCAATTTCACAGTTCGTGAAATCCATAATTTCTATCAACTTTTTATGAACTTTACTAAAAATTAATTTTTATCAACATAAAAAAAGGCTAAATTTGGTGCCAACTTGTAAACCGGTTCGCATCGAGTTCTTGAACCGTGTCTGCAATCTATTTACGAGGCAATTATTGGTGACGACCACTTCTGAAAAGTAGAAGATAATAGTTATGCCAATATAAAAATACTGATGAATATTCTATACAGTAAACTTTCAAAATTAATAAATGTTTTTTGTTGACTAAATAGTCCTTATTGTGGGAGTGAGAGGGACGGAGAGCTCCATTGCCATTATCCTGTGGTCTCTTTCTCGTCTTCTTCACTCTTTCTCTCTCCAGATACAGCTAGCAACAGACCTAGGAAAGTAAGTAATACCAGATAATCACAGATTAAAACGCATTCTTGCTTTTTTCCATGCATAATTACTTGTTCATATTCAAATTGATTTTGAGCATGCGAAGTTCCAATCCAATCTGTCAAAAGTGCTGGGTACTGGTACTTGATAATTTGTTTTCTCTATTATTTTGAAATTTTTTGAAACTCTTAAGCATAAGTCTCTCTTTTTCTTCACGAGTTCTTTTCTCTCCTTTTTTCTTTTGTCGTTTCATTGAATGCCCGAAAATCTCACATGGGTTTCTCGTACATTTGTTCGTTTCTGAAACTTTTACAGTCAAATGTTTTCTCTCTCTCATTTACTCACATGCACGAGTAATGCTTGATACCGAACACAGAAGTAAATCTAATGTTTCAGATTGATAATATTCAAGTTTTTTTTGGTGTAGAATTAACTACTTCGATGACTTGATCTGTTATTTTAAAGTATGTTTTATTATCAAAACTTGAATATACTCGCGTCTTCTTCTTCTTCTTCTTTTTTTCCCGGATATTCTCCTGTTATGATTCATGGGAGCAACTTTCGACCGTCGGACTCTTCAATTTCATGAATATTCCTTAATTGCTTTATGATGAAAAATTATTATTTGGACTTTGTTCAGTCAATTACCTTGCGAACTGGAACTAATAGGTGGTGATTTTTGTCGTTCTTTCATGTTTGTTACAGAAGTGGAAACTTCAATCATTCAGCTTCAAAACGATGCAAAACAAGCTATGGCTTGCACTGGTAATAATCTACTTGGGTTGAAGGATTTCCCCAAGGGTCTTCGAGTCCTCCTCCTTGACGACGACAAGGATTCTTCTCTCAAGATGAGATCAAAGCTCGAGGAAATGGACTACTTGGGTAAATTATTTGTCTTCCTTTCTTTTGTTTAGGAGCCAGCCCCCTTTATTATCAATCTTTAGCTTTTAATTTTGTAAACTTATCAAATAATTTAATAAATATTCTTGCGGTGCATGTTTCTTCTATTAGTTTGATCAATAAGTTTATGGGTTTGATTCATATGCATTCTTCAACTTATGGTTGGTTAATTTTAATGTTGTTTAATCCTTATAATTCAGAACCATAGCATTTAAATGTGTTATAAACAAGATTAGTTTTGGTTGGGTTAGCTCAAAATTTATTATCTATGGAAATAACTGAAAAGCTAGAAGTTTTAATTTCACTTATTGATAATATACATTGAACTTCTTAAACCAAGTTTTGACATGGCTGTTAGATCTGTCTTTACAGTCTTTTCATTATAAATTTGGTTGGTAGATATCTGGTAGTTCTTAAATATTGGAGTAAGCGCTCATTCTCTATAGTTTATTTTGTTATTACCTGCAAAAAATATTTTTCTGATTATCATTAGTTGTTTGTAATGGTAGAACTTTTTGTGTCATTCTGAATGCATTTATGAATTGGAGAAAATTATTTCCTACTTTTGCCTGATGGTAATGCTGCCCTTTTGCTGCTGCTTTACAGTTTTCGTTTTCTGCAATGAGAGAGAAGCGTTGTCAGCAATTGCAAACAAAACTGAGAGCTTCCATGTTGCTATTGTAGAGGTGCTAAACACATTCATTACCGTTTTCTTTTTCTTTGACTTCAAAAATGGCTGAACACAACTGAAATTTTATCTGTGGACATAACAACGAAATCGCAAATTACTGTTCCCATCGGTTTGTTTTAGAACCATTTCGGTAATTAGTTAATATGCGTTTTCAAAAGGGTCATATCTTCTGATCAATAGGAGTGGACTAATCCTTAGAGGAGCAAGGAAAAAAAGTGAACACTCAAAGCAAGTCTGAAAGTTACATGTTCTGCTCAAATTTCCTACTTTATGAGAGCTTATTGTACTCATTTGAAGATAGCTCTGAATTCATTTGCTGTTGTTTAACATAACAATGAATAGAGAGCCTAACTTTTATATTGTAATCTTAACAATATAACAAATGTCGCAGGTAAGTTCCAGCAACAAGGACGGGGTATATAAATTTCTTGAAGATTCCAGTGACTTGCCCACCATAAGTAAGTGAAATGATTGTTCTCACATGTTCCAGTTTTTATGTCTAGAATGGTCTCTCCATATAGCTACTAACAGTATGTAAAATAAAAAATTGTAAGTTTTTATGTACCATTCTGCGGCCAACTTAATTATTTTGGAGTGGCAGTATCATTTCTATCCTTCTACACATTTGCCATCTTTGTAGATTTTATTTAATGTGGACATTTTGAAACAAACTCTGGGTGTGTGTTCTTTTGACTTCTATGAAATACCCAGTTTAGTAGAGATGTACAGCATAGTGTTCAGTGACTGAAGCAAGAGGATTTGAACTCACAAGAGATTTTGTTTATCTCTTTTTATCGCAGTGACTTCAAACATCCAGTGTTTCAGCACCATGATGAGATGTATTTCGGTAAGACTCAAAGTTCCGAAGTTTTATTAATATAATGCATATCCCTGCATGAAGGAGTTCAGAAATTGAATGTCTGATTTTGAATTTATAAATATGTTTTCTGTTCAAAAATCAAACCGTCATCTCATTTTAAGGTTTAGAACCAGATGAATTTAGGCAGTCTACATAGCATTGAACTAGATAGAAGACTACTTTACACATGCTAAAACATTT